TGTAGGTTTCACCATCATTGTAGGGCTATTTGGACACACACACAGCAAACCTCATCCATCATTCCATCCTTTCCTGCTAAAACCTAGTAACCTACTGCACTGGATCTACAGGAATCTTCATTCTATTGGTGGTCTGTGGTCTCAAACTGGTTCAGTCTGACCTAAAGCAGCCTACAGAGAGTCCAGCAGGAACAGCGCAGTGCACAGGGCTCTACACTAATGAATTTACCTTCCTCTTCACTTTCTTTGATAGACTCTGCCAGAGAGAGACAACACACATACATCAGAGCTCTACAACAAGACAAGTGTGCATATGTGGGTCTACAATGCTGATTTTACTAGCATACTTTTCTCTACAGATAACTATGTCTGTACTATCAGTATCTACTAAATATCATATAAGAGCTATGAACAGGATTGAGAAAAGACAGGTGGAAATGAGTGGGCTTCATGTTTACCGAGCATGATCTCATAAACATTCTCTTCTGTCAGAAAATGGAATGAGAGAGAAGAGAAAAAAAAGTCAAGGTAAAGACGAAGATGAAGAGTGAGGGTAAAACAGATGAACATCATTGTAAGAGAGGTAGAAAGAGATAAAGTGTTAAACGTACTGTCTCTTTGAACAAGCTGACAGACAACAGCTTATTGTGAATGTCAGTTGTACTCCTCAGTATTTATTCTGGAAGTCCTTGGCTGGTGCTTCCAAATTTGATATCTATGATTATGTTGACTTGGTAATTATAGATTGGTACTTAACTCTTGTACTCAAATTGAGTATGGAGTAATCAGAAGCAGGGATTTCAAATGTACAAAGTGGTTCAAAGTTCATATTAAAATTAAAAATATGTAATTATTTCAGTTTTTCAAAGCATATACCAGTATATATCATGTAACCTGTTTTCAGATCCTTTATAATGTGACTTCTCTCAGCACCACAAGATGTTGGATAAAAACACACGCTAACCTTTGGTTTCTCATAAATGTATCAGTCACATATCAAGCTTGAGACATGACTTTACCCGATCTGCCCTAAAAATGCTGCACTAAAAATATTTCTCAGTAGCAGGTCTCACCCCTGTGAGGGGGATATATTTCCAGCCCTCATCCGCTTATCACCTGCGACCTCAAAGCAAGGCTGAAGTTAGTAAGCTCCAATGAACTGAAGCCACGCAGTCAAAATGCATTACACATCTGTATGAGGTAAACATTCCCACATGAGAAAGCTAAAGTTTATCAACCTGAAGTCACAAGCAGGTTTATTCAGTCCTCAAGGTCTCAGACATTTGTGCACCCAAACGTGATTTTATCAGGGAGTGAGAGTCTCGAAAGGTGAACTAATGCGATCGGGGCACAAAATCACATCACACACAACACCCTCACTGGGTCTCATTCACCAGTAATTCTACACAAGTTGCATACTTGGGTGCGCAGAAGAGGTTCTTACACCAAATCTCTGGATTATTCTAGATGAGGAAAAATGTGCCTGCAGTTTTTAATTACCATAATACACACTCAAACCATGTCCATATAAGCTTTTTTTTTTTTTGCACAAATTTGTATTATTAAAAATATTATATTTTATAAAAAGAAATATTATAAAATATTAAATAAAATAATATAAAAGGTTCATCTAAAAAATAGAATACTGCATGTAAATGTAACATGTAAATCAAAATTTTTCATGCATTTATGCCACTAATTACAGACTACAGCTCAAAAAAAGTATCTCAAACTATTAAAATATTTAATTTTGAGTTTGATTAAATTTCCATTCATACAATAAAAATTGCAGGCATCTCTTAGTCGAGTTCAGTAGTTTGAGATCAAAATGTGAAACTGAAGACTGCAGAAATGGCTGCTGGAAATTAATTTATTCAATCACAGGAATAAATTACATTTGAAAATATATTTAAATAATTATAAATTGTTATATTATTTCACAATATTACAGTTTTTACTGTATTTTTGATTAAATAAATGCAGCCTTATAAAAAAAATTACTGACTCCAAATCCAAATTGAATGCACTAAATGGTAGTTTATATATATAAAAAATAAAGAAATACATTTTATATTTAAACAATTTTATAATATAATAAATTACCATAAAATATTGAATAAAATATATTATATAAAAATATATATTTATAATATAAAAATAAATACATTTTATATAAACTAGGGTTGGGCAATGTCTACCAAATTGTCATCGGACGATGTCTACAGTGAAACATCGTGATGGACGATGACATTGGGGGGTGAGGTTAGGGGGTGTGCCCGAAGTGTGAATCTGTATGCAGAAAGGCATGGGAAACAAATAACGCATTCTACGGTGCCACTAAAGGGACATGGTGTAACACCCCTGTGGACTGTTTGTTGTGGTTTCTTCCCCTGTTGTTGGTTTAGCCCGTTCAATTATTAGTTAATCACCTAGAGGAGAGACCACGGAATCCTCTGTTTAGCCCAGGAAGGGCTCCCGATCCCCTGTCGAGCCTAGGAATGGCTCCCGATCCCCTGTCGAGCCTCGGAATGGCTCCCGATCCCCTGTTGAGCCTCGGAATAGCTCCCGATCCCCTGTCGAGCCTCGGAATGGCTCCCGATCCCCTGTTGAGCCTCGGAATAGCTCCCGATCCCCTGTCGAGCCTCGGAATGGCTCCCGATCCCCAGTTACGCCCAGGAAGGGCTCCAGCCCAAGAGCTCTCTCCAGTGCCCGCTCCTCAAAAATACACGCTCTCCCACCCGCTCCGGCCTTCCTCCCGTCAGCTCCACCTCCACTCAGTCGCTCCGGCTCCGCCGTGGATCCCTGGATCTCCGCCTTGGTCGCCAGAGCCCTCGGCTCCACCCTCGGATCCTCGGCATCCCCCTGGCTCGTTGGCTCTCCGTCTCTGCCTCGGGCTCCTCCTCCACCTGCTCCGCCGCCGTTGGTCGGCCCCCTGGAGTCAGTGGACATTCCTCCTCCATGGCTCCTCCCTCCGTCGGCTCCACCGTGGGCCGCTAGGGTCCCACCTGGCTCCTCCTCCTGCTCTGGTTCCCCCCTGTCGTCTCCCTGGCTCCTCCTCCTGGAGGTCCATCCTCCGCCGAAACCTCTACCTGTCTGCTCTGCCTGCCAGCCCTTTGCCTTCCCCTGTCACCATCTCACATCCACTGCCTTGTCCTCCTCCTAGTCCCCCTCCGCCCCTCCCTCTGTTTCTACGGTGCGAGGACGCACCTTCCGGGAGGGGGGAGTAATGTAACACCCCTGTGGACTGTTTGTTGTGGTTTCTTCCCCTTGTGTTGGTTTAGCCCGTCTAATCATTAGTTAATCACCCTCATTGTGTTCACCTGTCTGCCCCTCGTTATCTGCCCTATAAGTTCCTGTCTCTTGTATTCTAGTGTTGTTGGTTATTGTGACTGTTACCCGAGTGTGTGTCTGTCTCTGCCTTGTTGTCGCTACATTAAATATCCTTCTTTTGAATCCTTGTCGTCCTCGTCATCCTGCCTGCCTCCACACACCTGGACCGTGACACATGGTTAGCCGCTTGCTAGCGGTAGACTGTTACATTACAGTCCATGAAAGTTCACTTACCACATACACAGAGTAAGGAGAGATGACTGCTCAGCAGTGAGTATGAGTTACAACCACATCTTTTAATAACATCGCATATAGAAAGCACAAATACATGAATCCTGTCTGAGCTGAATCTCCACTGGATCAAGATTCCCTAGCTAGAGCACGTGAGCAAGCGAGCATGTCCCTTACAGTTGAGCATCAGTGTGTGAGTGTGATGTGAGAGACGGTCTCCAGAGAGCAGCGTTTGACAGACGACAACCCTTCGTCTCCCCGTTCGGAGACATACCAGCGCAGTTGACATGTTAAAGATGGAAAATCATGTGCGTCTTGCAAAACAGACAATCTGTAGGTCACTGTAGATTCAGCTACTGTCCTGTTCATAACTCACAGATTTAGTTCTACAGGCTGTCTCAAACCATTTTCTGCTTATAGCTATGACAATGTTTCACTGTATGCAACAGATTATAAATAAGCATATTGGGTCCCCAGCCAGAATATTGTGTATTCCAATTGACACTTTATAAAGAAATTGAACAGCTGTGTATTTTTTATTTAATTATACAATTTTAAAATTTATTTGCAAATATATATATAATTTTTACAGAATATTTTTAAATGTTTAAATGTATATTTATTTGTATTATTAAAATATTAACATTAATAAATTTGTGTCGAGCAATTGCGATTAATCACATCCAAAATAAAAGTTTGTTTATATAATATATGTGGGTGTATATATTTTGAAAATATTTACATGTATTTACATGTATATACTTATATTCATGTAATTTATATTATATATAAAAATATATTTAATAACTAAAAAACATAACATATTTTTCTTAAATATATACATGCATTTGAGTGTATTTATATATACATAATAAATATACACAGTACACGCACATATATTATGCACTCAAAAACTTTTATTTTGGACGCGATTAATTGACCAGCACTATAATAAATACACATTTAATTTAGCACATCAATTTTATAAATAAAAAGTACAGCTGTATAATTAATTTACAAAGCATGAACACAGGGAAAATCAGAATTGTTATCATTATTTATTTATTTATTTTTTTGACAATGCCATTTTGAGATTATCGACCGATAACTGATATTACCCTGTTTTAGTTAAACAAACTGAGTTGAACTCAAATAATCCAAACAGCCTTGTCAGTTCATAACAACAGATATTCCCCTTCCATTACACATGATTATGTGAAAAGCGATATTTTTTTTTTGTTGCAAGAAAGTAACTTCCCGGACAGACCGATAAAGATGCTAAAGATCCAACAAATCAACTCTAACAGCATGAGAGACACATTGCAACACACACAACACACAAACCATGATAACAGAGCAAACTTGGCCTAACTCCGCCCCTTTTCCAGATGATTGACAGCTGTCAGGTGCAAAGCGATTAGCAGGGAAAGGGCACTCACCTTTGACCCTCTCTCCGCGGTTTAACTGGATCTCTCCCTCTCCTTGCGGCGTGTACGGTTTGACCACGATGAAGGTGCGCCCCGGCACGGCGCTGTAGAGTTTCCGTTTGGGGCCCCGGGCTCCTGAGAGTGTGTGCGAGGGCCCCGCGGGAGGAGGGCTCGGGTCCCGCTGGACCGTCCCCGGGCTGTAAACAAAAACATAGGTTACCGTGGTGATGCCCGGCAACTGGTAGCCAAATCCGGTGGTCACCGACATGGTCCCGCGAGAAGCGTGCGTGTGTTATTCCTGAACCGGCCAGGGCCAGCGTCAGGTGAAAGCTGCTCACTCCCTCTCTTCCTATTCCTCTTCTCCTTCTCTGCTCCTCTCTCCTCCTTTCTTCCACCTCTCCTCCCTCTGAGCACTCCCCGCCCTCCCCCTCGCTCCCGTTAACGGCTGCCTGTCGCGAACGGCGCCGAGCGCTCGGGCTGCATTCGCCACGAGTGGGGCATGTTCACTCCCCGTGGCTCTGGTGCACACGCTCGAACACGCTCGCACACGCACACACGCTGTGACGCGGCTGCGCTGTTTCCCCGTGGCTGGGCTGGCGCGCTCCCACCCTCAACATTCTATCCGTACGCGGACGGTCGCAGACGACAACGCGCGGGCGCCAGGGGTCTGGATTGATTAGTGTGTGGGGGGGTTAAGCACAATTTACCCCCCCCCCCCCAAAAGCCCTGCATCCACAAACACACACACACATTCAATCCTAGTGCTGTAATCAACAGCCCCTCCTACCCCCTCTCTCTCCCTCTCTCTGCCCTCCAAGTCCTCCCCTCCCTCCCCTGTCTCTCTGCCCTCCCCATCTCCCTCTCCCTCTCCCTCTCTCTCTCTCTGTCAGTAAGACAGCTTCTGAATGTTAATGCAGCTGCAGGCAGAGTGGCTACAGCCCTGTCTCTCTCATTCATTGCAAATCGTTCTCCCATTCATTCCACACACACACACGCCAGCGAAAAGGCAACATCCCAACATGATTCCTGTTTTCAGTCCAGTCAGGAACGAAACTAGAAGTACAGCAAAACACACACAAGAGAATGATGTTTAATAGGCTTTAACAGGTTTGTGTGTCCTAAGGATGTCAACTTTCCCTCAATTGGAATTCTGCTCAAATGTTTTGGGGTGAATTCATTGAGAATGACTCACGCTTGTTTATGCATTGTTTATTTGAGCTGTTTTTTACCTGATACACTAAAGGTGTTATGCAAATAAGGTAAATCACACAAACATGCACTGAATTAAATTTGCACAACGTAAGTGGAGAAAGCAGCATACTTCGATAATCTGGCCAACTGTACTGGGAATATATATATGTATACGTATGTACACACACACATGCATATTATATATATATATATGTGTCACTTCAATATGTGTAGATTATATTTTATATTATATTATATACGATGTATGAGGTTTGATTTTATTAAAAACATTTTTATTTTTTATCTTTTTCTTTATTTCGCATATTTTGCGAACTGAAGCTATAATTCGTATGTATACAATTTTGTATTATATGTCAAATTAAAAAATAAAAATATTTATAAAAATATATACACGGCTTACACAGTAGTTAAACTGGATTGCAGGTGGTTAGTGAAAATTTAGCAGGTTTTTGTGCTAAATTTTGCCATGCAAAAACTGTTTAGCAAATAGACTCCTCTGTTTTGATTCTCAAAAAGAAGCTGATGTCTTCCAGCATGAGCAAGGAAATTCTTAAACCGGTAACACTTTACAATAAGGTTCCATTTGTTAACTATATTTAATGCATTAACTAATAAGCAATAAGCAATACTATCTTACGGTATTTATTAATCTTTGTTAACGTTAGTTACAAATACAACTGTTTATTGTTAGTCCATGTTAGCTCAGGTCCATTAAATAACATTAACAGATACAACTTTAGATTTTAATAACATATTAGTAAATGTTGAAATCAACATTAACTAAGATTATTAAATGCTTTAGTATTTTTATTTTAGCTACTGTAGTTAACTAATGTTAACAAATGGAACCTTATTGTAAAGTGTTACCCTTAAACCTTTGCCTTTACTGTCAAAATCAATCAGTCCGAACACACATGCATATTCACATACTCTTTCCAGCTATCTCTCTCTCCATCTATCCCTCGCTCTAAACATCGAGCTCAGTGACGGCTTTCCAATTACTGCAGCGGTACGGGGCTAGAGTGACTGCAGCATGTAAATGCAGAGTAACAGGAAAGAGTGAGGAATTTAAGGGCGGAGAGTTGATAAGAAACCGAGATAGGAAAAGAAAAGGGCCGTAAAGCAAAGAAGGATGGAAAAGAGAAAGTATCAGAGAAGAAATGATGGACAGAGGCGGTAAGAAGTGAGAGAATGGATGAGAGATGGAGAGGTATGGAGTCCTGTCGTCACGGTTTCCTCTGACTCAGTATTGATCAGTCAGAGCCGCCACAAGCCTGTAATAAACAGCGCTGAAAATCATTGGCGGGTTCTGCAGTAATACCATATTTCACACACATCAATCATCATAAAAACAGACATACACAGCCTCTGACAAGTGTTCTTTTTATTTAGGACATTTGTAAGACGATAGATTTGAAGCAGTGCACCCTGTAGATGACATTAACGTCACACTCCACTCTGTCTGATCTCAGGCCCATCTGACTCTTCCCATGCATGAGGAACTTCCATAAAGACATGTGCTGCGTTTCAAAACTTAGAATCTAGTGAGCTGCCTACCGAGACACTTCCAACATTCGATTGTGATTCCCAAGAATTTTACACAAGATTTGAATGTGCATGATGCCCAAAAATGTCTAATTCATACGTTTGTTCAAACTAGGGATGCACCGATACCACTTTTTCCAGTACTCACCCGATACCGATAATTTTATTTTTGGTACTTGCCGATACTGAGTACCGATACCAATATTTTCATTGCATTTGTAAATTTTTTAAATATTGGGTACAGAAACCAAAAGAGTATGTATAATGTTAGTTGGTTAACTTAATTTATCAAATAGATACAGTTAAACCAAAATTTATTCAGACACCTTCAACATTTCTCACATTATCACAGTTTATTCGCTATGGTTTAGAAAATGGTAATAAAATATAACAAGAACTCAGAGTTACACTGTGTCAGAACAAATTCAGCTTGATAATGTCAGATAACTTTGATAGAAAGGTATGTAATGGATTACAATAAACCAAAAATTATTCATACAGCTGTCAATATTTACACAACTATTAATACTTTGTCGTGTGAGCCTTAGCCTTAATGACAGCCTGTAGTCTCCTGGGCATGCTGTCAACCAGGTTCATGCAAACCTGAACTTAAATTTTTTCCCAGACTTGGTCTGAATAACTTTTGGTCCCAAATTTGTATCAGTTTTACTGATAGTCCACTGTATGAAGAATTTTTGGGTATAATATATCACAGTTAATTTTTTTTACTCTTTTATCCAAAGCGACTTACAAATGAGGACAATAAAAGCAGTCAAAACTAACAAAAGAGCAACAATATATAAGTGCAAATGACAAGTCTCGGTTAG